GGGCAATTACATTTGATGTGGAAACTGGCACACATTCTTCCTCGTCTTCAGCCTGCTCGTTAGATAACATAGGCGAGATATTCTCGGAGATATAAGATTCGATGATTGCTGTTGTGTTATCTAACCATCAAGAAAAATCTTTCGGATGTTAGTGTTGAAAATGTAGTTAAAATACAAAAGTAGCAATGTCGTCAATAAAATGAAGGTTGGGGTATAGTCACGATTCCTCACATATGCTCTCATTTCTCTTGAACCACTCCATTGTTCCTGACAGTACAAGAGTGATGTGATTCGACGGAATGGTACTGTACTGCCGAATTTGTTTCACTATGTAATAGCTAGAGATCACCAAAAACAGTGCTAAACATGTGCTACAACAAGCATTGCAGTCGTCGGATATTTGTATGTAGGAGACATCGACCCCTTAATCTTCACTGCTTAAAGAATATGTTGGGGTTTTTGTGAGTTCGAAGGTTTTTGTCGGCCCAAAATAAGCATACGTTATTTTAAGAAAACGTTATCACTCTGATTACGGAAACGATGTTCTGTAAAGAAGTGAAGATTTGTGGTTCACTCTTTCTCATTAGATCATTACTGATACCGTTGATGAAGCACGTAAGGAGTAGGGCATATGAGAGAGGTAGTTTCTTCGGGAACTGATAACATTGGTGGTTTCGAAGGCTATCGTTAGCTCTTCTCGCACGAAATGATGACGCTCAATTGCTACCACTAGTTAGGGACAAGTTCCGAGCACAAATTTAATGTGCCCATGCGTTACAAGCGAATGCGTTCAGGATAATTGTCAGCTCGCACGAGACTAGCAAAAAGTGTCTGTAAGATATCCTCACTCACTTTCCATTCTCTCCGTATTCAGATGATTGCGAAATGTCCAGTGAATGCCCACTTATTGTGTGAAGGGATTCCGCGGAAAAATTGCTACATATACACATATATATAATATTCTGCATAAACGTTTCCGCAATAGAGTTATGCCATGTTGTTTAGAGCTTTTGAGTATCAAAAGTCGATCATGAGAGTCTTCCAGAATATTCACCAATAAGTTCAGCTAGGTTTATATTTTACGGTAAGTTATTTTATCGTATCTCTTACTACTCACTCCAGGTGTCGCTTCATTTTCCACTTTTCGGTTTTTTCATCTGTCCATGTTGCCGTACAACAAACGCATGGTCGTTCGATACCCCATTCGAGCACCCCAATCCTCCGAAATCGCCACCTTCTTACTGAATCTTTCTGCAATAAGTTTCAACCGATCCATAAAAACCGGTGATGGTTTGTGATAAGGACCTGGTAATGGTGAAGCAGTGCTAGTTCGGGATTCTTGGCGTAATCAATTTTGCGAGCGCTTAGTGACATCAGTGAAGGAGACAAAGAATCAGTCTAATTCGCACACAAAACTGAAAACTTTCATGGATAACAGACCGAAAGAAAAGGTGCTGGGAACTCCATGTGAGGACAAGTCATATGAATAAATAAATAGGAATTGATCAATAATTACTTGCAAGCCCAATGAATTTTTTCGGGCTGTCCAAGGTATTCTATTGGCGTTGGAATTTTTCACGTAACCAGCTCTAAAGTTGTCTTATTTACTTTATAGCTATTTTTGGTCAATCGAGCCGTTAATATTTATGAACTATCATCACACCTCCTGTGCAGATCCCAGCACTTCTTGCATTCGGTTCGTTTTGCTCGCATTCATCGTCCACAAACGTCTTCGGACATTAGTGTGTTGTTTCTGATTCTGAGGATTTCGTCTTCTTTATGGATATCACAAAATGCTAGTTGAGTCAATTCACTCTCTGAAATCTTGGAGCTAGACACGCTAAGACGTCCTCATGTGGATTGGACGGAAGCGTTAAGGTGGGAGTCGAACTAACGTGTTTTGCCTCCTGATCAACGGCGTCTTTAACCACTGCGCCCGCATTTCGATTCACTTCAGAAAAAGACAATATTTTTTTAATTTTTATTCGCCATGCACTTCTGCGCATTCGACACATGAATGTCTAAAATCTTTTGTCAAAACTCTTAAGCGGTTAATGCTCCACCCCGTTTCCCGGGCTAACCGAACTCGTGTCGAGGTCTACGAAATTGTGTTGAAATTGTCTGGTTGGATAAAAAGCATTGACTTGACACATCGCTACGCCATGCAAGTTCATTTTATAAGCCGCATTCAATCACCTCTGCAGCGCTTAATGGAGTTAAGTGCATGGTGTATCCCTAAAGGGTAAATCAACACCGCGCACATTGTTCCGCATATCCCTTCCACTTTAAACGTATTTGTATTTTGTGCATTTCATTTTTTATGGTAGTATTGACCAGTGTGCCATGCATCCTTTTCTCTTTCCTAACTAATGAAATTTACGATGATGTGAGTTGTACCAAAGTACGGCAGTCTTGGATCCATACATCTCGATATGGAAAAGTTACTACACTCGAAAAACCCTTACTCCAGACGAGTCACAATCATAATTTGAATAGAGATATAGAATCGGCGGCTACATATAAATCTATTTCTTTTGGGTTGCTCGTTTTTTTCATAAGATCTTCTGGATAGGAATATGATACACTTGCAAGAACCTTTTCCGCTAGACGGTCATCACTGACCATAAGTGGTTATAGTTCAGGTGGAGTTTTATAGACTACAGTGCATGTTTTTCTGTCTATTATGTGTCTTCCCCCTCCGCGAAATTCATTTATGCCGGAGAGAAATGTGGCTTTGATTGTGAGCCGAGACCGCTTTATCCTCAGACAATAACCCAATTACGAGCGGCCACCACTATCAAGCGCGTTGCCGGAAACGCTACGACGCCAAGTTTTTGTCACCTTCTTATAATCGTTCCGACCAGGCCGAGGATGCTTTCCTAAGACCACCGTGGACGACAATTTTACTAATTCAATAAGTATCAACTCTATTGCAAGTAATTCGCTGCTGGCACAGCGTACGTTTCTTAGGTGGAGGACGCCAAAGAATGCTCTGCTCATTTTTCTTCACACACTCCTAGGGTTATTATTCAGTTAAACTGCAGAATATGCTCAATAATTATGGCTAACTGTTTGCTAGTGGGTACAATAGGTTGTTTAGCTTTCCTATGAGTAGCCAGGAGTCGTTGGTTCCATCCTCACCGACCGACTACCTCGATGGAAGGCCAATCAGTTACCGATCACGCAATGAGGGGATGATGCACTAACACAGCTCATCGTTCGTTTCCATGAGATGTACTGTAATCAAATAGATATTGGTTTCTTCAGGAAATTTCTGAAAGAAGTAAGAAATCGCAGCGGTAGTTTTCCAACGATTTGATTAGCCCTGTAAACTCCATCTGTTATCGTCCTGAACCTGATTATTTTACCAGAGCAGTTAAACAAAGTATGTCTCGCTTCGATCTTTACCATTTGGGGTATCAATTCGTGTATTCGAAGATTAAATGTATTCTGCAAGCCAACAGATAACATATCGATTTCATTAGGACGTGCTTTAAACAATGATGAAGGACACTGACGCTGGAGCGTTCATAAGCCTAATAGTGATCCAATGGCACATTCTTCCTTTATTTGTAGAGTATGAATGTCGATATGTCCGAATATGGTAGTATTGGGCGCTCAACTGATGGAGAACCTATTCGCTTGTCCTTCTTAATCATGGAAAACCAATAGTGGTCTTATGCAGTTCAGGGTTGCAGTTTAAGCTTGTGAGAAAGGTAAAAGACCCTTTTACCCATAGCCTTCTTCGCGTTAGCTATGAAAACTCTGTCAGAACGATTTAGAGACAAGAATATTAGAAACAAAACAAATAGTTCTCAGTGTACAATGTTAAATTCTTATTTTCTGCCTACTATAATTCTTCACGGCAGGGTATGATACGAAATACAACGACAACGATGCTGAGAAATTTGCAAAACCCGGACCGCAGGTATCCGCGGTAGGGAATGGACGTCCCATTACCTTTTCTGGGGTCTAACGCACTCATCACCACATCATACTGGTCCTTCGTTTCGCCTGTCTCTCAGCTAGTTCTATCGATCAGTGCCATTAGCAATCACCAATCAAGGGAATTGATCTGGGAAGCCAAAATCGGCATTGAACCAAGTTAGGCTGAGGCCGTATTTGAAATCACAAAGTTAACTTTTTATTTGTTGCCTACTATAATTCTTCACGGCAGGGTATGATACGAAATACAACGACAACGATGCTGAGATATTTGCAAAGCTGCGAACCGGAAGTGTTCGCGGTGGCGAACGAAAGTGGTATTACCCTTTCCGCTGGCTAACACGTTCACCCACCACACCATGCGGGTCCTTCGCTTCGCCTGTCTCGCAGCTTTTCAGTTTTCAGGTCGTTTTAATTTATGGCATTGAACAGTTATAACTTTGCATCTAATTTTTTAAAAACAGTCTTACATTTTCGAAAAGTAGGACAACTATGGTTCTTAGCTTTGCTGAATAGGTTACAGTTCCTTCATTACCTGATTTTTAAGCGAAAGGCTCTCGATGAACTTTGCCCGATTTCGTCTCATTTCTGATTAAAACTTTTCTGGTATTTTCTCAGACATTCTTCCATCGTTCGTACAGAAAGTTCCCAAAAATTCGAAGCATCTACATAAAAGAACTTGGGAATCTTCTGAAAGTTTTAGAAAAAATGGAAGTTTTTCTTTAGATTTTGCGCTAATTGACGGTAGGAAATTTGCACAACACAAAGTGTTGAGGAAGTGGTATCGCAGTGAAATTCATGGAACTGATGGAACTTAGCTATGTCGTGAAAATCTCAACGGCTATAAGTGTTTATTATGGGCGGGGTGGACTTTTTGTTTATTTAATTTATTCCACTTTTTTCTTTTACTATCTTTTTTTCCCAGGCGTCGTAATCTGTATTATTCGGAGTTGTCTTAAACTGCTTCAATTGTAATGAACATCTTTTGAAATCCATACAGTTAACTAGATAGAGAAACTATCGAGTAAAATTGGTAGGACAACGTCGTGTTTCAGATGTACCTGAGGGTTCGTCCGTGGCTTGGCGTGCTATTGTCCGCCGTTGGCTGCGGTGCTATACGCATCACAGCCGAAACCCCCGTCGACTTCTCCATCCTGCTTTGCACTCACCAGCGCCGACATATCCATAACCATATGCAGGTCGGCACTTCGAACTGTTACTCAAGTTGACGTCATTACTGTATACCAACGATGTTTTCATTGAAACCTTTGCGGAATTCGTACGTTTTCTTCAATTTCAAGAGCTCCTCTTCAAATGTTTTTTGTTCTATTTGTTAAATCAGCAAAGTAGTACTTCTTCTATGCGATCTTTGTACTCATTAGTGTCTAGTATGTGAGCGTTGAAAATCAACTCACAATCCATCGTATAACTCTACACTGCCAACAATTTGCCGAACTGATGGGCCGCATCCTGTTCAGTGGGCAACGGAAATGTTCGTAAATATGAACCATATCGATTTTCGTAAAAAATTGGTTTTCTGGTCAGTTATTCCTTCGGGTACCATCTGAATTGATTTGTCAACTATGTCATAACGTTAACACGATCACAAAAATTCTCACTGATTTCGATGCGATATACAACGGACAACATGTGTTGATTTCAATTCATTGCTTGGCATATCACTGCTTGTCCCGAATGCGTTAGCATCATTCGTTGAATGACTTAAATGGGCATCAGGAGTTTCCATTCGCTCTCGTGTCTGTCTGCAGTTGCCTGGTGCGCCTTGTGGTATGAACACGCGAGGTGTAATACTTTTGTTACGAAGGGCTTCCATTATTTTTATCCTTTCTTGCGAAAATCAAGCCACCCGCCAATTGATACATTGTACTCTCCGGTCCAGCAATATCCAGAGATCTTGTGACTTTTGACGCGAAAAAGTACTTTCTCGTCTTGTAGAAAAATTGTGGACATAGTAAAGTGAGTATTCATTTTCAACATCTAAAAAGTGGTTCGACAGTACCTGACTGCCTTTTGAGGAAATACACTCACCCATAGAGTAATGGAATTTTCTTAACACGAGGTAGACAGCACATACGCATTGTCCACTTACAGTACCTTCCGCAACCGGCTCGATTTTGCATGACAGTGAAGTCCTCTAAATCGCAAAGAGACTTAGCAAGAGATCAGCAAAGTACAGTAGCCGTGTCGTCGTCGGTTCTCTTCAGCTGGAGAGGAGTTAACAGTGCCCGACAATGTCAATTCGGTTTTAAGGTATTTCGAATATTTTCAAATGTACACAAGTGAAGTGAACGTAATAATGCAAGATTTTATGGTGAAACAGCAATTTTTCTTTTTCGAGTGAAGAAACGTTGCAGGGCTAGAAAATGAGCAATACCGTTGGTGAGAAGATGTGGAAATGACATTCTAGTCAAAAATTTGACGGACTTTTACATGAGCTATTTATAAGGTTGTGCTCGAGGGTTAAGCTTCTCATAAAGTTAAAGCTGAAGCAAGCGTGGTTGGAAGGATAAGATATAGATTCTAGGCCCACTTTTGCCTTGCTTACACATTTAGTTAATTGGTTCAGTGGGATCTTTAGGTTCTCGTGATATAATTGCAAGGTGACCGCTTTTACTAATAGAAAGGTTTTTGCAACGTTATGAAAGAGATGGACCAAATAGCATAAGATCCAGTCAAAGGTGGATGACACTTAACTTTTTGCGTTCCACTTCTCGAAAAGTTTAATTGCCTTTCCGATTGGGTGACCTGGTTGATGACTGTATTACCAATTTGTATCTCAATTTATCACCTTAAAATACTCCAGAACCGTTGTCTTGCGGTAAATCACTGAGCGATAAATTCCCTTCTACTTATGGAGGTACATGAGAAGCGCAGCAGTTCAGAGGTGCGGTTTAGTAACGGACGCATTCCCTCTGGGCCGCCCCTTCCCGAAGCCAACCAAGTCTTCTATCTTTCTGGAGTCGGAAAGTTTGTAGCAGATTTATGTGAGGAGTGCTCTCTTAGAAACACGCAAGCTACTGACTGCCTGTGGTGAAGGCCTGGGAACGCTCTTCTAGAGCTAACCCAGTATTTCAGAGGGAATCAATCCGAACATCATTCAACGAAGTTCATGAAAATGATGAATTAGAGAATTTGAAGCTACACCCACACGTAAATCCGAAAGTTTTCGTGCCAACACATCACTGAGGCCTTTGCTTTGCCTATCTCCCGGCCGGTTTTTTACCCTAAAAAGATAATAGGCCGCAAATAAATAGTCTCTCCCACCGGTTCACCGTCTCATCTTGGCTAGGAAGTGTTCTTGAGTATCGGACTGTGTTGTATAGCGGGGAGATTTGTCCCCACGGCAGGGTCTCCCAAGCCGAGAAGGAGTTCGGCGTTTCCATCAGGAAGCTTAGCTAAGAGTAAACCAATACCAGGATCCACCGTGGTATCAAAGTCGCATATTGGCAAATCTCCCTCTGATTCACAAGGGTGACGGCCTGTCGTGATGACGACCTGGAGCAGACTTTGGCCAGGCTGTCTTCAGAATTCCAGGGAACCACAATGGATTAACCAGCAAGTTTCCGAAAAATGGTGATTATGCTCGGGTCCGCACAACTAGTGAGGACGGGCCGTTCAAGTATCAAGTAAGTAATAAATAGTCAATGTGACGGAGTTGTTTGCCTGTATTCGTGTCTTATGCTCAAGATCTCGAATACTCGTTTATTCAAAACTTTTTTTTATTAAAATCACATTAATTGCAATAGATTTATCGAATGTAGTGGAACTATATGGTTAACATTGACCTTATCAACCCATCTCAGCAATAAACAGCTGATTCGCATAGGAATTTTTCGAGTTTAGTGATGCCTTCGTCATCCAGCGAACGCGCAGTATGTTTTCGAAGCCTTTGAAATGTAACCCTGAGTTGACCTGTGTTCGTATGAACGAGAAACCCCTTACTTCCTTAGTTGTGATTACAGCTAGCTTAATCCGTCTCATGTAAACGTCTCTATTGATTTTTCTGTTCCCAAGAGCGAGATGTTGCCACATATTAATGTGTTTGTAGTATGAATTTCCAAAAAAAAACTCGATCTTTGGAAGCGTAAACTTAAAATAACTTTAGAATTTTAGTTGACTATGCAATCTGAAGGGTATACCAAGCACAGAGCTTGTAAGACCTTAGAGCGTATTCAAGCCCGGCTAAGGATGTAAAAGAAACTCGACTAAGCAAAGTCGCAATTCGTATAAATTTTACAGCAAAAACTGAACAAACAATTCCAAAAATTTATACGAATATTTTCTTGAAATTATAGGGATATCAAGGTGAATACAGACTTTCGCCCGACTTTGGTGCCTACGAAGAGTGCCAGTATTCGTTATCACGTCATACTCACGCCTTATCCGAGGTTTGACATTTTCCCATCTACTTTCACATCCTTATCTTTTTTTGAATAAATAACATGATTTTTTCTACCTGAAAACTTTCTCAGGTCTGCAACACCTAAAGCTTCAAAATCAGTCGGATAAGAAACTTATCGGAGCGTATTGGGAAGTTAAAAATCTAGCTAGGACATTGACTCAAAATTTTTTATAAGTATGATTAAAAAATTTGAAATCGATGCCTAGTTTAGTGGATTCAAGCTATTTCATGAACTCTTCCAGACCCAGCGTTATTTCGAATCCCTAGTAAGTCAATTATGATAACCGCTCTGTCATTACCGTAATCAAGTAGCTATGATTATCGGGTTGTGATTGGCTTCTTGACCAAAACAGAACATTCATTGGAATCACGTCTGAGAAAGTTTGATACGGGAAATCGCAAAACAATGAAGGACATGGGAGATTTCTAAGTAAACATTTAAAGCTTAGAAAACACTTTCTGATGAACATAATTAGTACGTTGTGCTCTTGCACTTTTAAATGCTGTTTGTGTGCTGAAGGTTCTAGCAACCACGGCAAGAGTCACTTACATAATCAAAGTTAAAGTCCTTGTCTAGTAAGTCGTCGAGATTGGAATCTAAATGCCAATGAAATTTGAAAAGTGAAAAATGAGTTATCAGAATGTCTGCGCCACAAAAAGGAAATGAAGGAAAGAAAAGAATCTAAACGAAATCGAGAAGACAAACAACTGTTGACCGTTGACTCGGATCTTCGGCTCCAATGAAGACGGAGATGTGGAGAGGATAGCTTAATGAAAATTACATATCAACCTCATGTAAGCTTATCAAAAAAGAATACGTTCTTGTTAATCTTCCGAGGTTAAAGGAAAATCGGTTTTGAAATATTGATGCGAGGCTCTTAGACTTCTATCTGAAGGTTTTTTCCATGGTGAACATCTTTCCAGAAATCCTTGATGTCTTCTCGATAGGTCCGTAGTAACCAACCAGAGTTCTGCCCTTGCAATGATTCATTTCAGCGAAGAACTGGGGAACACTTTCTGTCATAATCCAAGGAGACGATAGATGCTATCATTCTCTTCATAATTACCAGATTGAAAAAGGCCTGACCGAAGACTTAAGGTACTCATTAGGAGAATCCAAAACACTTCTGTGTAATGTGACTCAGTTCTTCAAAAGGTCCGATCGCGTTCTAACCATCACTAGGGAATTGCTTGAAAACAGAAGAAGATTAAAGCTTGATGTCTTTTCGTCAGAGACATCACCGTTTTTCAAAATGTCCCAGATGCAGAGAAAATTCTCGAGAGAACACAGTAAGTATAGAGATGTAAAAACATGGAGGGAAAAATTATTTAATGGAAAATTTGTGATGCGATGAAGAAGGAATCGAGAAGGATGGTCGTTCTACTACGGTTGTCAAAACTAACGTAACCCTATGGCGTTTATTGAATAACAAATTATGGGCAAGAAAAAGAGCAGCACAGTCGCAATCGTTCCTCTCAAGGAATGCACGAAACCATTCACCTCTTCTACTTAACGGCTGCCCTACTCCTCAGATACGTTCAGTTGACATTTCAATCTTGTCGAAAATTTCACGCCAGGAAAACCTAATCAATGTTCTCTGAAATATGTTTCCAGCACAAACAAGGCAAAATAACCTCAATGATGCTGAGATATTTGCAAAACTCCAGAGCGCATGTGTATGGTATGCGGTGGGGAACGAACGCGCTATTGTCCTTTCCGGGGAGTAGCGCGTTCACCACCACACCATGCGGGTCCTTCGTTTCGCCTGTCTCTCAGAAGGCAACATAAAGTCAAATTCGGAGTTTAATACTCCGACGAATGTTTCTTTTTGTATGCCCAAGGGAATTTGCATGGAGAAAGTAAAATAGAGGCTGCATGATGTAGTAAAACTAGGTCATAAGTGAAATTAGAGAATGGGATGGATCCTAAGAAAGTTTAAAGCCCTCTGCGGAGGTCTCTTTGCAAGTAGGAAGCCGTTTTGTGGTTCTCGTCGTTCGTTCTTTTCTATTGGACGACGACGACGACAGGGGAATTCAATGAATGGAAAATATGCTTTTGCTTTGCTCGTACTGATTGTGAAACCAAGTCACCGAAATCTCCAAATATTAATTAAATTTAAATAAAGGGTCTACTTTTCACTTAAGCTATTTTTTTCACTCTTCTACAAAAATTGAGTGATTTTTGGCCATTGCAACTGTTCATCACTTGTCCTTATGACAATTTGTTCAGGTACTAGCCCTAGACGGACCTCTCAGTAATACGCTGCAATTCAACTCTTCGAATTCGAATTGCCCGATCAACTACCTGCCGACAACCTATGTGGTAAAAGCACAAAAGCTGAAAGACGTTAAAGACTTTATCTTTGATAAAGAGTTAACTATATTTTAGGATTATGTGTCATGTTCATTGAACCTCAACGAATGGTATATTCTCGACTGGTATTCGAGCATCCGCTACGAAACCTACCATAATGGAGTTTATGGTGAAGCAACTTTAACTTCGTTATCAGCTAATTACTGTTGAACAATATGAGTTACCATGTTTACGCTGTATAGATATGTGATGCGGTTTGAACTTTCTTTTCAGTTAACTGAGGTATTAATGCATAGGGCAGGAGAGCGACAATCTCTTTCAGGAGAGTAAGCTTAGAACACAATATTATGTTAACGAGGTCCTCTATCTCAATATGATTAAAAAATTTGCTTACTTGGATAATTGGATGACCCGTCTTTACTGGTTGTGCGGACTCCAGAGATTTTCTGGTGTAGGCATTATAGTTTCTTGGAGTCCTGAAGACAGCCAAGCCAAAGTCTACCCCAGGTCGGCACCAGCACAGGCAGTCGCAGATCTAGTGGATGAGAAGTAGATTTAGCGTGCGACTAGTTTGATATCAGGTCGATGGTGGACCCTGGTACTGGTTTACTCCTAGCTGGGCCTCCTGATGGAAACGCCGGTCTCCTTCTCAGCTTAGCAGATCATACCGGCGAATGAATCCCTCGGCTGTACATCGCATTCCGGTACTCAGGATCACCTCCCAGTCACGATGAGACGGTAAACCTCTGAGAAGTAAACTTAGGATCAACTTTGTTTTTTAAAAAATTCTCTACAGCGCACCGTTTACAGAAGAAACCCATCATGGCTTGAATACATTCGTGACAAAGCAGGTTTTTCGTAACAGAGGATAACTTCTTTATTAATACGTTGTAAAGGAGTTGAAAAGCTTACAGTCTTACAGAAGCGTCTCTGCTCCATGGTTTCAAGAGTGCATATGCTTGTTGAGAACAAGACAAACAAATAAACACACACACAAGCATACACATATGCGCATACACATAAACATACACAAACACACTACACACACACACACACACATACACATACACATTTATAAACAGACATATACACATACACATACACACACAGACACATGCACACAAAGTCGGATATACACACGTTAAGAATTCGACGATGAGAAAGAAGAATGTAAGTTAAGGTGAAATAGCAAGAATCAAAGACTCTTTCTCGTACTGAAAAAAGACGACGAGAGATCGCCAATTATATCGATGACCTTTGAAGTGATTCTTCAACGAGAACTGCGAATGGTTTTATGCAGATTATCGAAGAAATCCTAGATGGATCTTCCATGACAACTGTGAACGCTTTTTTACGGATTAGTAAAGAAATCCAGGAATTATTAAGCTGTAACTGGCGGAATACCAAATTCTATGTAATTCTTTGTCCGAAGGTGAAATATTTAGATGGTTTTTGATATTTAAGGCACGTACTACGCAAATCATTCGACATCGTTCGTTTTTCAACCGACAGACAACTTACTGCGAAACGGCACCGAGAGAGAATGGCTAGCAAGGCTGATTCATCTCGAAACGAGGTTTGCTATTTTCACGGCTCAGAAGTCGTTTCACCTTCTATCAAAAAGAAGCGAGGGTGGAGGTTCCAGCGTCGGTTAATCCATAAGAGGAACGCCGTACATTCGACTCTATCAAGCATCACAGATGTGACTGACTGCATAATTGGTGTGTACACAGACTAGTGGGGTTTTAACTATATGTGAAATCAGTGTTTTTATCGTCTTGGACAACTCTTGATGCTGTTTCCGAACACCCGAACAAGAGGGTGCATGGCTTAGTTTTCCACGACTAGGAAAGACAAAATGACCCGTAATGCATTGTAGGTCTTCTCCAACTATCCGTTAACGCGCTTCCCTTCAGCGCGATGGGAATAGGAACAGGACTTTTAGTTCAGCAATCGCGAGGTTTTTAAACAACATACATTTACTTCCATAGAAAAACACAATACAATACAACGCTAGCTGACGTTTCGGCAGTATCGTCTTCTTCAGATCGTGGAAGGGTATACTGATATACAATTTACTAGGCCAATCGCTTCATTGACACTTACAAAAAGACGAAAAACTCTTTGGTAATGCTTAAGAAAGCAAGTCTAGAAGAATCGGTAGCGATAGTCGAAATACCACCGGCTACTCTACGTCGCCAATTAATTCGCAACCGCCTGTACGACCGTCTGTGTGAAACAACAAATTGAGTAATTTGCCCTCACGGTAGGGACGGTGATTGCATGAGTTCAGGTACGATATGCCTGATCTCTTGTAATAATTGCGGAGATGAATATATTGGCGAAACGGGCAGACCTTTGTGTATCCGTATAAAAGAACACCTTGATGGCAAACGATAACGAAAACAAAGTACCCCATTAGGCACGCAAAGGATACAAAAGTATAGCGGAGACGATTTTGAAGTAAAAGTCAATAACTTGCACAGGAGTCCAAAACACCAGCGCGAAAACTCCTTGAGGCTTTTTGGATAAATGCCAAAAACCCTCCAATGAATAGCAGGGACGAATGCTCGGAGGTCACACGCGAGCTGATACCGTATGTTCGCATCGATTTTTGATGTGGGATGTTGCAGTCGTCAACCAAATGCGACTATAATCAGCTGTTCTAAACTTCCTCATTGGAAGTCACGAAAAAGCGGTGGGTTTTTTCGAGAAGTTGTTTGTCATGTAATTACCAAAGAGTCTTTCGTCTTTTTGTGTTATTGAAGCGTTTGGTCTAGTAGATTGTATATCAGTATACCCTTCCAAGCTCTGAAGAAGGCGATTCTGCCGAAACGTCAGCTAGTGTTGTATTGTATTGTGTTTCTCTATGGAAGTAAATGTATGCTGTTTAAAAACCTCGCGATTGCTGAACAAGAAAACGACACATTCATATTCCAATGCCGAGGTTAAGAGAAAGTCAATCCTGGGAACTAGGACTTTTAGTATTCGTTTTAGGCAAATAGTCTCTAAAGCAAGAGTCTAAGGGCTTTGTTGGTCCGAAAAATTGAATCGAGCCAACGACTATGTATGCATTGAACGTCTGTTCATTGTGCACCCCTCTCGTAGAGCACAAAAAGCGTCAAAAAATAACAATCTAATATCTTTCTACTTCTGTTCAGCAAGCACGAGGTGCTATTTTATTTCTTTATCTTAACAGTCTAATAATTTCTGCCTGAATTCGAAACAGATCCTGTTCACACTTGCTCACTTTTAAGAATCTGGGTTTTTCTACCATCTGAAATACTTTTCACCACTTTAGTCATTGAACTGAGCTTGAACGGGCCTAGCGTGACAGTCTTTCCTATTGCGAACTAGGAGAATTCGCTTCCGTTCGTTCGAGAAAGATAGATGACATCACGCATTTTGACGAGTTATAGGCATGGACACCTCATCAGATTCAGTCTCTCATAATAGGTGTTTCTTAATTTGGTTATTAAATTGAGATATCAATCTCCTTTGCTAAAATGGCCGTATTTTGGAAGATGAATGCTCGTAGCAGATACAGATATTGAAATACCCAGGAACACACTTCAGATACTATAAGAACTATTGTGAGGATAGGCCACACCTGAATACGATCAAAAGTTATCCACCCATGGATGTTTTTACAAGATTGTCATGAATAATTAAGCAGAAGGAAATGCTTCACTTTGACACTAGTAATCAATATGTGTGGTTATTCTGGAAATCTATTTCGTTAATAGTTTATCCCAACGGTTTACCGCCTTATCGTGGCTAGGAGGTGTTCCTTGGTGTGTCGGGCTGCGATGTACAACGGGGTGATTCATCCCAATGGCAAGGGCCTCCCAAGCTGAGAATGAGTTCGACACTTCCATCAGGAAGTCGAGCTAAATGTAAACCAATACCAGTCCTAGTATCAAAATAGTCGCATGGTGGCAAACCTTTCCTGATCCACAAAGGCGGCGACTGCCTGGACTGGAGGCAGACTTTGGCCAGGCTGACTTTTGGGATTCTAGAGACCCACAATGGCTAAATGAGGAAGAATCCGAAGAAATGGAGATTATGCTGGGGACCACAAAATCAGTGAGGGCGGTCATCTAAGTGTCCAAGTATTTAAGTATTTCGTCAATATTTTTCTTAGACGGGTGAATGCAGTGTGCCTTGGAACGTGGCGGCCACGGTCAGAAACAAGGAACGATACCGTGATCGCCATAACACTCGAGCATTCGCGAATTATTTTTTTCCATTTCAAGGTCATTACTTTATATAACCGTTCTTTGTCATGATTCATTCTAGCAATTCGTTACGAATTAAGGCAAGAGTATTTGCGTAACTAACTACTTGAAAGTCCACTCCAATGTGAGAATGACAAGAAATCGAGTCCTGTGATAATATGTCATCTTATAAAAGCCAAATACTCGATAAGGCACTGTACTGGGTTTTCTGTCGTTTAAAGCAGTGTTCATAGTTTTTTTTCTATCCAATTGGACTTAAAGTATTGCACGTTTTGCGCAGTGGCTGGAGGTGCCAAGACACAGGCGTTTTGTTCGATCCCTCGTCCTTGAAACGAGTCACTATACCAGTTTCGGATTGGAACCGTGGCACTAGGTTTGTCTTGGAACATAAAAACGCCTATTTGGTACGTTTATAAGCCTTCACAAGTAATGCACAGGCGAAATATGCGATCACTCACTTCAAGAAGGCTTAGTGGAGTCGAATAAATGGCACATCCTTCAGGGATTTATCACTGCCGTACGCTTAATTCTTTCCCCTTTATTCCCTTGAACACAATCGGTGGTTATAGCATTTTTCATGTGGATCTAACGATTCAGCTTCACAACTGTGGCACTTAACCGACGCAAAACTTTCAAACCGTTTAAGATCCGTGTTGGGTTTTAGAATTGGATGTAGGTTTTTCTAAGAACGGAGTATTGACGATGTTGTAACCTTAGGCGCCATTTAGTGAGAATACAGTGATGAGAAAACTGGAACATCAAAACATGTAGGTAGCGAGCACTCATTTCTATAAAGCGGCTTAGTATCAAAAAAATATCTGGCCTATATCATTGAGGAACTTTACAGTGTGTTCTTTTTCCAAGTGAATCTACTAGTAACTTACGATCAAGCTCTGGAGGAGTGGCGGTTTTGACAATTCTTAGCCAATTGTGGAGCTCATTGGAGATGTTCTGGCAACAAAAATTGGCATGTCCTCGAATGAAAGTGCAATTTTAGGATAAAAAACAGATTCTCATAATAAACACCTATCGTAGTCTTTTAATTATCGGTTGAGGTTGAAGTACGATACGTTTTTGCTATCTTTTCACCTCAATAATTAACCCTAGAAGTGGTTTAGATTGGCCTTCATGTCTTACTATCTTCTTTATTTTCACATTACACTAAGGACACTCTGAGGTAGTTTTCCTCGTATCTAATCTTATGAAGCTATCACTATTCCATTTAAAGTGCAGAATAGGTTTTGCAAATGACAGATGATATTTGTCATAACTGGAGGTATTGGAAAGAAGAAATTGTGAAATGACGAAAAATGGAAAGGGTTATCTTTAGGAAATTGACTAGACTTGATAAAAGGATAAAAGAATAGAGCTCTCGGTGTTGATCAATCCCTGAGGGATACGCCATGCATTTTCAACTTTATTAAATATCACTGGAGGTGATTGCATGGATATCTGGCCTTTACAATGACTCGCGGTGGCCTACCGATGTATCGAGCCAGTGCTGCTATCCTCCCAGACAATCTGCTGGGCCACGGGGGCGGGGATCGATCCTATGTGTGTGTTGCAAAGTGCCTCCCACCACTGCGCCACACGCGTCCTTTCTTTAGGATATGGATTGCATTGGATAAGTATGGATTTCTTACTTTTTTAAATGTGTGATTTCAATTTTTCTAAAACTGTAACTTTCTAGGAATTAATGAAGCTTGCAAAAATAAGGTGTACCGTAGCAATTGGTGTCACTCACTACCTTAATCCTATCTATTAAAACGTTACAGAACCTATGCGATAATCCCGACCGTTGTCGGCAACTTTTTGGTATCCTTCAGTAATTGTATGGACAGAAAGACTAATATGAGTGCAATTTTTACCTTCATCTGGACTCTGCACATAGGCTCTTAAGCAATTGCAGCGTCAAATCATAGGGCATCGCGTTAATTCCCGAAGAGCTGTATGGTTTAAGCGGTCCGGATGGGATGGTGGTGCTGGCGCTTTGCAATGGTGTTTTGCCGCCACTGCCGCACTCTACGACTCTAAATAAATCACATGCCATTGTGGACAACAATATGGCTATTACACTCCTCACGGATGCGCCGTTCCATTCGGGTCTGATATAGCCAATGGCTGTTGCATCTCATATTGATCTCGCAAATAGCTATCATTTGCATTCGTCGCGTGAAAAGAAGTGCATCCTCCCTAGTGTTTCTTATATTCGTCAGTCATTTAAGTGTAAGAAATGAATATAACTCGACCAACTGACACTCCGCACCAACATGCTGTGGATTCCGATGGCTCTCGTAATTACCACTTCATGCGACAGCCATTATATCAGCAGTTGCAAGCACCAAATTTGTGGTTGTAACTGCTGATGTAATGACCATTGATTTGTTTGATGGCAGAAGGGTTTCTCAACTTTATCGATTTGACTCAACCGGCTCTAATTTATGTGATACCTGACCATGCAATACTACAAGTTCTTGCAGAAGGAGTCTAACCGAGTTTTTGAAATGGTGAGTGAGCGTCA